AGGATGGATCAGACGAAGATGCCCTCTACATAAATTATTTCATATATCAATAATAGTTGAAAATTTTTATTATGCTAGATTCTGCTTTTACAAATTTACTTACATCATTTCTAAAGTTGTAGCGTACAGAAAAAAAAGGGACTTCAGACGATTCACAATTCAGACTAGTTATATATGACAAATAATGTGGAGTAGAGGACTCGACATCTGAGGCAATCATCTTTTTTTTGGGTTGATATGCCTCGTCCTGATCAACATCGAAAACATCGAAACTTTCGCCCAAGTTAACCTCCTAATATGAAACCACCGCTATATACGAGGATATAAATAATTGCGTCGTATCGCAGCATTCCCCGAATTACTCGGAACATCTCTCATATCCATATCTTGTAATAAATATACATTAATTTATAAGTCTTAGCACTAACTAAACTTATCAAAAAAATAAAAACCGAAAATTTTATAAATATATATTTTTAATTACTTAAATATACCTTCAAATGAATAACAAAACCCGATGGTGTGTACACAATCGCTTTTGTTGGATGGTTGGACATATGATCCTCAAATTTCTTAAACATACCCGACAATCTAGGGTATGTTTTAGTCCATAGATAACTCCCCCACGAGAACCTATATTATAAGAAAAAGTATTAGTTAAACGTATTTTATTTTATTATAAATATTAAATTGACAAATACCTATTCCATTGATCCAGGTTCTGTACCACCCTCAAAAATTCCTTGGTAACTTTATCATTGAGCTCCTTTCCCAAAAAACCTTGATTGAGGATATATAGCAAAATGGCACGGACACCGTCGTGAGCTAATATATCATTGAACCGTTGATTTAAGATAAGGAGCTCTAAATCTTCTACAAGTAAAGAAGTGTCCGTGCGATATGGGAATACTTTGGACCGAAATGTATTTTCACCATATCCGTGTTTATACATGGTTGAAAATTCGATCCTTGATGTAGGACACCAGCCCATGTAAAGTCCGGTCACAAGACAACACTTCTCGGGCCCAAATGACAGTGTACGTCTAGAAAACCTAAAATATAGACGCTCAGATGTGTCCGTTTCAGCAGTAGGACGCAACATATGCAGTAACAGCCCATGAATAAGAAGTCCGTCTCCGGACTGAGCTGGTAGGTCCAACAAGTAACCGAAGCTAGTTGTTGAAAAAATATCATGCACGGGTCCGTTCAAGCCACTCAAAACTTCATGCAATTTATGGCATGAAGCTTTGACAGATAAGTGACCCATCATCGTTTTGTTTGGAAGCTACAAAATTAAATAAACATTAAGGTTAAATAAAGTTTTATAAAAGAAAAAAAGTGATAAACAATTAGAGAAAGCACACAATATAAGACTTAATCATTTCATATATTCTATTTACTTTGTATAAAATACCAAAGGAAATTAATTGACAACATTTTTTTTGTATTTTCTATACTAATTGTATACCAAATATAGCATTGTACTTTGAAAATGGTGTGACAATAACATATTTTATAACAAACATGAAACTACCAAAACAAAATGTTATTTTGTCAATACAATATACTTCAAAGTATCTACTCATTATAAACATGTTAACTTCTTCAAATAGATAGTACATTGCTATTGTATACTATAATCGAGACATAGAAAATAACATACTTTTTCACAAAATGCAAACATGGAATCATAATATATATACAATCGTTAAAATTCCGTAGAAACAATTTTTTTTTCGAACAAAAATGAAAAAAAAATATAAAACCGTAGGTTTTAAGAAACCTACGATTTTATATACATACCTACGGTTCTTTTTTTTTTCAAAAAAAAATCACTGCATCAACAAAATATACAAATGTTTATTTATTGGTTATAAATTAAAAAAAACGGAAAAAAAAAATAAAATCGTATGTTTTTTGGAAACCTACGGTGTAGAAGCTTTTACTGCACAAACTATGCATTAAATGCTTGTACACCGTAGGTTTCAAAATAACCTACAGTTTCACTATTTTTTTTTAGTTTAAAAAAAATCATGAAATTATACTATATATCAAATTTCGATCATGTTGGATCAAATTTAAAAAAAAATAAAACGAACAAAAAATACTTTCGGTTCGACGAAACCGTAAGTGTACAAGTCGACACTGCACAAACTGTGCATTGGACACTTGTACACCGTAGGTTTCGTATGAAACCTACGGTTTTTTTTGTTTTTTTTTCGATTTTTATCAAATAAAAACTTAACGTCATATACAAAACCTACTCCTAATCACGAACACGGTACAATTTTGATGAAAGTAGACAAACCTGATTGTTCTTCGGGTGCTAAATTGAAAGAAAACAGTAGACAGACAAAAAAAAAACAATAGTGAAAAATGAAATAATCTGAAAAATTAACCATTATGTACTTTGGACTAATAGGCCACGAAAAAGTAAACGGGTCGTAAAAACATTAGTCCATTACCATGGAATAGTAGATTTTCAAGAAAAAGAGTAGTCAAAGCATGTTGACCGCAGTCAACTATATGTTGACTAGTATTTAGTGGACTATTTTTGGCTAAGACTCATTTTGTAGCTATTTTTTGATAAGTCGTTAACAATTATAGCTAGATTAGTAATTTTCCGATGTTATAACCATTAAACAAATCATGTCCATTAAAAATCATTTATAATCTGTGACGTAACCATAACTTGTATGGCGTTAGACAAGAACACGATAAGCCCCCACATACATACATACAAAAACACACACAAGTGACCAGAGTAGTATAATTTTTTTTAGATGATAGTAAAAAATCTACCAAAAATGTATCCTTCTTTTTTATAATTGTATTTAGTATAATTTTATTAGATGATAGCAAAAGATCTACCAAAAATGTTGATAAAGCAATCTAGCTTTACTTATTTTGACATGTATATTTTTTCAAAAACACATTTTAACCGCTTGCTTAATATGTTTGTTTTATCTTTTATATCTCACATTAAATATTGTTGAAAATGCTTTAAAACCCTAATTGTATATTACAATATGTTGATTACGTAGTATTTTAATTATTGGTGTTTCATATTTTTTTAATGTAAAATATGTTAGGAAAATTTAACAGGTACTGTTGATGATTCGATGATTCGATCATCTTTTGTGACCCAATCATACTGCAAAAATATGCATGCTCATACACAAGTTTAGTGAATCGAAACCAAATTTGTCATATTTGCAACCCTTGAGTGCACATACAAGAGAGAGCATTGGTTGTATAAGTCTTAAAAAAAAATAGTTTGTATTTGTAGTTAAAAACAAATTTTATTTTCATACTTCAACTAATGTGTGACGAGTTAAACATTACTTAACCCACTTATTACTCTCTTCCAATTACCTTACTTTGATAAGTAATTTTGGATTCATTTTAATCTGTCTTGAACATGTGATATATCAAAACGAAGATATCATAAAGGAAAACAGGAATATATAATTATTCCTTTGTTCTGATTATATTTAAAGTTTGAAATTCATTCTCAAAAATTATGAAAACCCCCCTTTTTCAAAGTTAATAAACTAATTTTCCAACAAAAACCAAAAAGCTATCTGTTATGGAGTTATTTGTTTGGATCTCAATTTTCCTATTTAGTAAGGATTTTGGAACATACACACACAAAAAAAAAGCATGTAGTTGCAGTGGAAACGTGCGGTGCATAAGTAAAAACTATGCAAAAACAACAAAACTCGAAAGCAATATTTTTTTTCTCAAAGGGTTGCATTATATGATTAGTATAATTCTATGCAAACTTAGGGCATCCACGATGCATTGAACTCTATATAGTTCAATAGATTGTCTCATCATCTTTCTACAATCCATACAATTCTTATTATTTTTTTTCCTACAATGCATTGAACTCTACAAAGTTTAATTGAATTTTACAAAATGTAATTTATAGTAAATATTTATGAATTAAAAACTTTCATTTTTTCCATTGAAGAGTTCAATGACCATTGAACTCCAAATCCATTGAATGTCATTGTAAAATCTTACAATGATAGAGTTTCATCCATTGAATGATACATAGACTTGTCACCTCATTCAACTCTTGAACTCACCATTGTGGATGCTCTTAAGTTTAGGAGCATCATTAAATAAAAACATCCAATTTGGTCCAAAATGCCAACTTAGTTCCTTTAATGACAAAACCTACCAAACTAGATAGAGTGAAAGGACCGACTATGGAAACAAGAATTTCATAAGAGAAATTGACCGTTAATTGAGTAAAACAAAGCAGTCTAGAAGGACCAAAAATCATTATAAAATATGGATGTTGTCAAGCCACGACATGAAATGTTTTTGTCTTATGGTCCCTCCCTCGAACCTTCCAACTCATTTTTCACCATCGAACTTAGCTTCGTTATTCGACACAATTATCATGGCCTTATATCTTGCAAAGTAATATGAAGTACGAATTTTCGTCGGTAAAAGCTTATGCTAAATGGGTTGAAAGTTGAAACAATTTTCATTTTTGGCATACATAGTTACATATATACCGATATATTGTTAGAATACATTGAGGTTTATAGATTATGAATAGCCATATTATTATTTCACTCTTCATATAATTTACTATTTTTTTTTCTTAAAATCATTGAAATCTATAAAAGTTTATATATATATTATATATATATATATATATATATTATATATATATAGCACTACCACGTATTGAAATGATGTCCTTTCCCATTGTGGACAAAATATATAATTTTAAGAGTATGATTAAATGAGTGTGTGGATTTGTTGTTCTACAAAATATATTTGATAATCATTATACATTAATTAAAAAAGTTTTATTTTACTCATTTAACATTTCAATGGCCATATGGACTATGCAACCATTAAAATGTCATTACATATGTCAAATGGAAATTCCATCTCATTCAACAATTAAATCATCCTTTTAAAGTTGAATTAAATGTAATTGTCAAAAACTGACATGACAAGGTCGAACTGTTTGCTGGAAGTAAGACTGTGTTAGATCTGTCTAGCTAGGTGTTGATCATGTTGATGGCTGCAAGATCATGGACATATATATGCTGCAAACGAAACAGTCACAAACACAAGATCAACTTCATTATCACGATCAATTTCTGTCACCCATCATAGTTTCTTTACAATCCTTCCAACCTAACAACGAAATGACATCGACACTTTAAATAAAAAAACTTAAACCAATTGTAGTAAGTTGACTAGTTGTTTGAAGATAATATTAAATAAAAAAGATTATAATAGAGAGATGATATACAACACCAAAAAATTAATTTTCTTGAATTTTATTTGTTCGATTACCATCAACAAAATACCATAAAGACATGATTGGTATACAGACACGTAAACATTTTCGTAACTACAAATTATATAACAAGTTCTAACTATTAGTATGTACGTAAATAAAAAAGATAAAAATAATAAAAAGAAACGTAAAGTGAGCATTTTGCAATAAAAATGTCTAAAAGTAAATATTTATTCTAAATTATCAAGAAAAATGTATTAACTAATTATATCAAGTTTGTTTTCGGGTTAAATCTTTTTTTTGTTATATATCGTTAAAAAGATAAAGACGTATAGAGAAATTAGGAGATGAATTATAAGAATATACAAGTATGGGAGTTTATTTATGTATAAAATTTATTAAAAATTTTTTACAATGAAGAATAAAAAGGAAGATAACTAGTTAGATATTTAACGAATATTACTCAGAGCAAAACTGATAGATATCATCCATGGAAGGGAGCTCCAACAGCAACTTATCCAGGTCTCTAAATGACATCCCTTTCTTCAACATAGGCGAGTTCACACCACCACCACCACGGCCGCCACAACCGCCGCCACCACCAACGTGTGATAAACTATTTTTGGGAGAGGGGGAGGGAGTATCTTTTCCGGTGAGACGTTGAACGACAGATTTAAAGCTCATGGCGTCTGTCTCAATATACTCAGTGTTGATAATCACCACCTTCACAGGATCTCTTCTTCTCAATCTTGACATGGTTATATAATCTTGATCAATGAGCACAAATAGTCAAATCCAAGAATACCCTTTTTGAATCTGACGTATGATGACAGTCGACAGAAAACGTAAGGGAAATGGGTGTAAGATTGTATGTGAATGAAGCTGTAAAAAGATGATGGAAGTATGAGTTTCTAAATGAATCCAAGAACAGATAGATGGGTCGAAATGAATATATAATTAAATTTGTTCTTGGGTATATATAGAAAAGTAACGAGGAGGACTTTATGGACATGGAGTAGGATAGGGCTCGAGGTTTCACATTTCACAACTGGATTTGGAACGGAGTCAAAGCCAATCGGATGTATTGCCCTTCAACAATATTTGGATCTCCGGTTTATACCATTTGTTTTCCAATTTTTCATTTTTGGTCCAATACCCTCAATCCAAATTTGATAAAACAATTGTAGCCTTAGGAGTAGACTAAATACCCTCATTCCAAAATTGATAAAACAATTGCAGCCTTAGGAGTAGAGATTAAAAGATTAAAAGTATAATATAAATCAAACCGGTCAAACATGTGAAAATTTACACAAAGTTTTGCAACCTATCAACAAGGACGAATTAAGGATTTAGATATATGCTTACAACCTATCAACAACAATAGCGAATTGAGGATTTACATGTATGTCTATTCAACTTAATTAAATGAAAAATAAATAGATTTAAAAAGTTTGATTATCTTGTTGTCAATAATATCATTTAATACAAGTATAACTTTAATACTAAAAATAAAACGTTGTTAAAAAAAACTAACCTATCTGACGAGTGATGCTTAGTTCATCGGTTTTGGCGAACCATCTCCATATCCTTACGTATGCGGTATGCCGCAGTGGATGGACGAACAACCAATTTTATGTAACCTTTTATTATTATTACTAGACGAATTCCCGCGCGTTGCGCAGCGAAGATTAAAAATATATTGTTAAAATATTGAAAAATATATGATTAAAATGGTTATGTTATTGACATTAACTTTGAGATAATATTTTTACAATAATTTATATATATATATATATATATATATATATATATATATATATCTATATCTATATATATATATCTCAATTATTTTGAACAATAATATTCATTGACATCAACCCACATTCCTCATTAATAGAATTAAATATAATTATCTACTTAATATTATTTTTAACAATTATTATTATTGATTAATTATATTTTTACTTATGCGATAATTTTTCTAATTTCAATAATGATGTTCATTTAAAATACAATTTATTTATAGCTAAATGTAATTTATAATTTGATGTTATTATCATTTAAAATTGTTATTCATTAATTTTAAACCACTTATTATTAATAATAAGTTAAAGAAGACTTTTAAGAAACACTTAATATTATTATTAAAATGTGAAACATACACTAAATAATAAAGTGATAAGATAGACAATTTGCATTTCAAAAGAGACTTGCATGGATAATATGACATATCCATGTAATTTGATTCTATTATTTATAATTGTTGTTTATTAATTTTAAAACCCTTGTTATTATTAATAAGTGAAAAAAACTTTTAAAAAACACTTCTTATTATAATTAAAATGTTAAACATATACTAAAATATAAAGTGATAAGATAGACAATTTGAATTTTAAAAAAGGCTTACATGGATAATATGACATATCCATGATTTTTAATTAATTATTGTTTTGAAGCAACATGAACATACAAACATGTATACAATAGTTAATTAAATATTACGTATATCACCTTCCATAACATATGATCGATAACATGAATCTAATCTAATTTACATTAAAATTTCAACCACAACATACAATGATATTTTTAAAAGAATACTTAAATCAAGAAAATACAAAAAAGAATTAGTATATATAACAAACTTACAAATTAAAAACTTCAACATAATAACATGACTCGAATAATTCTTCAAAGCCCTCAAACCAACACAAAAAACTTTAAACTTGTTTTCTTTGTGAATTTTGTATGTGATTTGTATTTGTGTGTCTACTCAAAAAGATTGACATTTTTATAGTAGAGTATTCATTAATTGTTTATTAAATATATTATATAAGTTATAAAACCTTTGAATTGTTAATCATTATTAAGAGATTTTTTGAGTGGTATTCATTAAAATAGGAGGTTTCAAATGCATGAGGTGTTTGCAAATTTCTATGGGGGTTTCAAATGCATGAGGTTCAAGGAAAAATGTTAACTTTATAAGTATGTATGATTATTATTATTTATAAATAAGGTTTCTCAATGGACAGCATCATTGCGTAAATTTGTCATTGACTATCAAACCCATTAATCTAAAAAATATATCATTGTTTTAATAATAATTTTGATAATCGTATTTAGTATAAATGTATTAGATGATATTAAAAGATCAACAAAAAAATGTTCATAAATCAATCTAACTTTACTTGTTTTGACATGTATCACTAGTTATGCAAACACATTTTAAGCAGTTGCTTAATATGTTAACTTTATCTCTGTTTACACTAAATGCTGTCGAATATGTAATATTTCAGGAAGTGTTGCAAATAGACCGTGTTTCATCAGGATAGTACTTTTCTGTTATATGGTATTTTACTTATTGATGTTGCATGTTTTTCTTATGTAAAAGCCAAAAAACCATCTATTATGGAGTTATTTGTTTGAATCTCAAGCTTTCTAATTTATTAATGATTTCTGGAACATACATGAGAAAAACATATAGTTGCACTGGAAAACAAATTAATGTTGTGCATATAAGTTAAAACTATGCAACAACAGCACAACTCAAAATCAACATTTTTATTTAAGGGTTGCATTATCTCATTCATATAATTCGATGCAAACTTAAGTTTAGGAGCATCATTAAGAAATACAACAATAAAAAGAAAAAAAAAAAAATCCATGTGATGGTTTAAACCGTGCAAGTTATATAGAAACATCAATTTTGGTCCAAAATGGCAACTTAATTTCTTTAATGACAAAAACTACAAACCTACAAACTAAATAGCGTAAAAGGACTAATTATGGAAACAAGAATTTGATAAGAGAAACTGACCGTTAATGGGAGAAAAATAAAGCAGTCTAGAAGGACCAAAAATCATTATAAAATGTGGATGTTGTCAAGCCACGACATCAAATGGTTTTGTCTTATGGTCCCTCCCTCGAACCTTCCAACTCATTTCACCACCGAACTTAGCTTTGTTATTCGACACAGTTATCATGGCCTTATATCTACGTGTAAATACCTCATTACGTAACTTGCAAAACAATATGAATTACGAACTTTCGTAGGTAAAAGCTTATGCTAAATGGGTTGAAACAATTTTCGTTTTTGGCATACTTACGGATATATTCTTAAATGCAATAAAGCTTATATTATTACTTTCTTCATATAATTTATTATTATAATTTTTAAAATTCAATGCATTGAGATTTTAAAATTTTAACTAAAAATACGTTGAAAAATAAATAGCATTTATTTGTTAATCATTATATATATATATATATATATATATATATATATATATATATATATATATATATATATATATATATATATATATTAAAGTTATCGTTCCTTAGCTACAGTAAATTTGCTAAGGAATTGACATAAATGGTCCCCTGTTTATGTGACTCTCTCCATTTCCGTTTATTTTCTTTTTTCCCTTTGCAGTAGGTCAATTTGTGTCAATATCAATATTGTTGATGACCACGTGTTTCCTTCACCGTTTTCTGATCCAATCAGATTTAGATTTGTGTACATCGTCGCCGCCCCATCCTTCTCTCATCGACTATATTCCATTATACCACACACCCACCGCCTTCATCTCCATCTTTCAAGTTCTCTCTTTCGTTTCGTCTCCACCCAATCACCTCTCCCTCCACCGCAATCAGATTACCACCGCTCTGCCATCTGCTGCTTCTCCAGCCCTTCCCAGTGTCGCCCACCGCCATCGACTTCCAATAAATTATGACCGTTGTTCCTTATCACCGTCTCTCTTCCAGATTACTAGACCAACATCACTGTCTTTGTTCTTCACAGTTAAGACCTAAAACCCTCTCACCACCACCGGCCTATACGCTGCTGCTCACCACCACCGTATACAAACATGAGTTTAATCGATCGTCTCCACCCGGATTTCGATTTCGGAATTGGATATGTTATCCGAACCCTCCATCTTCCATTAAAGATGGGGTATCAGTTTCCACCACTGCTCTTCCTTCTCATACCCTAACTCTCATCCGCTGCTTGTGGCTTACATGGTTTAGCTTCGCTTGAATACGACCAACAGGCTGGAGCCGATCACCGTTCTCATCTTCCAATGTTATCCACTCCACCACTTATTTTTACCTCTACCTAACCCTTTATATTCGTCTTTTCCTTACCCTTCTGTCTTCGTCTTTCTTTAAGAAAAAAACTCACCACCACCATCGCTGCTTTCGGCAATACTGACTCCGGTGAAACAAGCTTATGGGTTTCATAACTCGACGCCTTTGTCTCCGGCGGCGACTCGACGACTGTGCTTCAAATCCGGCGCCTACCGGCTTTGTTTCTGTACATGTCATTAAACAAAGCCTCCGCCTGCGCTTCTACAAATTCCGATAATCGATATGTTTACGGGTAAAGTCAGGTACGTTGGTGGTGAATAGCGCATAAGGTGGTGTTTTATCTATTCAATTTCGATTCCCTTCTCTCTAAATTAACCACTAACTGAAGCTTAAAATACAAGAGCTCCTTCCACATTCGAGAGTTCTAATCCCAATTATCAGGTCAGAAGGTAATTCTCTACCTCTATTGTCGGCTTCTTTTTAGGAATCTCAGAATTTTACTATTTTTTATAATTTTCGTAGCTTGTGTGGCTGGGTTCAGTTCTCTGAATTGATGAGAGCCCATCACATGCCTCTCCTCATTCTGTTGTGGTCCTATGAATGGATATCACAGCATGTGAAAAACAATTCCAGATTGGCAGCCCTGTCAATTGACACGATTGTTTAGACACTGATCAGGTTTGACTATCTTTGACGCTGCAACTGAAAAACACACTTCCAGTTACATGGAAAATCATCTTTGACCCTACATTTGATCATTGCAGCTTATTCAAGAAGGTCAAATACTGGACCAAGAATTAAACTTTGTTGGCACGGCATATGTTCCTGTTTATGTGATGGTCGGAGTAAGTGGTTTGTTATCTCTATTTCC